TTGACAGTCTGTTGTTCATCATTCTAAAAATATTTATAGTATTTTAGTGTTTTTTTATTTAATGCTTGTTGATTTAATTTCTAAGCAGTCAGATTGATCTTTATTTTTTTTTTTAAATTGTCCAATTTAATAAAAATGCTTACCATAATACCAAGAGTAAATAATACCTAAAGAGAGTATCCAACGGGCCTATCTCAGTTAGGTATTATTTACTCTTGGCTATATAGTACAGGGAATTTTCCAGAAATTGGCTCATTTTTAAAAATGGTCATAACTTGAAAAATTTAAGTCAGAACCAGCTCAAACTTTCTACACAGCATAAGGGCATCAATATGTATCAAAATATAACAAAACTTAATTAAAGAGTTAATTAGCCTACTCTGGGCCCATCCCTTGACCAGACTAAGGCTATTTGAGCCTGTTCTAAGCTTAAACTTTGGAGTTAAAGCCATTTAAAAAATGAGCCAATTTCTGAAAATTCCGCTGTACTATTTATAGCCCATGGTCTTTTCAAAAAAGGCTCTAAAATCATTCCCAATTTTTATCAAATTTTCTAATACGTATTGATGTATTTATGCAGTTATGCTATGTAGAAAGTTTGAGCTGATTCCAAGCTTAAATTTTTTGAATTATGCCCATTTGAATTAACTATAGCATGCATATGCTCCTAAAATTGAAGCAATTAAAATTCATTAAAAATCCAACTTTAATTTGAATGAGCTCAAGGTTTCTGCACAACATGATTGTGTAAGTATATGCATCAGAAAATGTACAGATTCATAGATTGTGTATGTGCTGGTGGCTCATTTAGGCTCACTATAGCATTAGGCAATGACTATTATTAAAAAATTAAAAATATAAAAAATTGAAATTAGCAAAAGAGTCAGTATTTGTCTTTATAATTCTTTTGCTTTTTGAGTATCGCATCACTTGACATATTATTTTTATTCCAGCTTGACCCTATCAATGATAATATTAAGATTCGCTATGAGTAGTTACTGTTAGTACAGTCTTGTTATATTCCTCTTGTATGTAGTGCTCTTAGCATCACTAGCCACTAGTGATCCCAGGCAGTGTCACGTGGAGGCGGCACTACGTTGTTGCCCAACCTGTAATGATAACTAACAATATATACTGACGCTAACTGAATGGACTTCAGCCTTTAACAGGAACTTGGTCTTAACAAAGAAAGGTTAATACATGACGATATTGATACTATACTGTAAGATCTTGAGTGTTTCAAAGAGGAACATGGTGTTGATGTGTAGATAATGATAACCTTACCTTAAGCAACCAAGAGTATGTATCTCTTGATATAACCTAACTATGTATATATGGGTATGTATGGGTCACCTTATGAGTGCACTCATTATATTAGGGGAACATAAATTGGGTCACCTATATGAGGAACATGTATGAATTGGGTCCCCTATATGAGGAACATGTATGAATTGGGTCACCTGTATGAGGAACATGTATGAATTGGGTCCCCTATATGAGGAACATGTATGAATTGGGTCCCCTATATGAGGAACATGTATGAATTGGGTGAGTAGGGAGGGCTGGTTGTTATGGTGTTGTATCAGTAGCTTATGAGCTGTTGAACATGCCAGATACTCCTCAGTCGTTTGATGCTGATCCTAATATCATAGACTCTGTGTTTAGAGGGTTACTGGGTCAGAGGCCAAGGCTTGTAGCCAATCAGAGACAGTTTGATTTCTGTCATCGGATTCTGGAGGAGTGTCTATGGGGCGTGGCTTCCAAAGGATTGAGAGGGACAGAGGAAAAGGGAAAAGGGATCGGACAATTATTTAACATATTCAAAAAGAGGAAGAAAACTAGTTAGTCATAATATTATATACATCATTATGCATACTCTATACTC